TACCCTAACTAATAATAATAAAAGGAAAAAAAAGAAAAAAGAAAAAAAAACTATCTGGCTAAAGCACAAGACTTAAAAACAAATAACTCAGGTAATAAATCTAAAAAGTAACAATGAGAAACAATATGTATATCTCCTCTCTTCTGAACAAACACTGTGCTGAAACTGGTCAAACAAGAAGCAAACTTAGGACCTGCCCCCATCTCTTGCAGAGGCAAATCTACTCTGGAAAAAAAAAAGTAACATTTAAAGATCAGAACCACAGATATTAAAGTATAATTTAGTGAAATACAAAGTAAGAAAACAGTCAGTTTGACAGTCAGTGAAAAGTTACTTAACAAGAATCTGCTCTGTAACAAAAATGTCTAACAAAGAAGTCAAGAAAATACTCCAAGATGGAAAAACAACCCTCAAGAGTTTCTTCAGCACATACACAGAACTTCAGAAGACCAGAAAGGGACCTCTAAAACAAGCCCTGCACTAATAATATGACACCATTACAGAAAGCTTTCACTGATACACATTTGGCAGTAAGGAGTCACTGTAAACTCTTACAAAGTATTTGTAAATTATCTGATAATCCCATACAGTCACTGTGAAAGATGACCTAGAATTAGGTACATTAATCCACATGAGAAAAATGAGTAACCAGTTAAAATGTATGAGGTTGTTTGATAATGCTTCTTAATTTATTTTATTCCCTTCTATCAAATTCTAAAAGTGTATTTTTGTTGTTAATCTTCACCCGAGAATATTTTATCCATTGATTTTCAGAGAGTGGAGGGGGGAGGGAAGGAGGGAGAGGGAACAGGGGAGAAAGGAGAGGGGAGAGGGGAGAGGGGAGAAGAATCAATGTGAAAGACACAATGATTGGTTGCCTCCTGCACACCCCCGACTGGGGATGTGCCCACAACCAAGGCATATGCCCTTGAGCAGAATCGAACCTGGGACCCTTCAGGCTAACGCTCTATCCACTGAGCCAAACCGGTTAGGGCTCAAAATGCTTTTAAATATATTAAATGCATTTTTTTTAATCATAGGTTTGAAAAAAGAAATGTCCAAAACATTTGTGCAGTCAGGATACCAGGCTTGGTGTATATGTGGGTGTGGTGGTCTCTTGTGATAATTCAGGTCCAGAGACTGAGAAGACCTATGGACAAGATGATCTTCAAACAACTTTCTGACTTTGAGAATCTGTAATTGTTCAAGTTTTTTTTTTTTTTTAATTACTGAATCAGTGGCACATCATGGTAGGTTTTATAATGGCCCATTATATAATATGAGTTAATACTTTCAGTACAGCAGTCTCTCCTTATCAATGGTTTCCCTCTCTAAGTTTTCATTTTCAGGAACTTCATGGGAAAATTTTCCCAGGCATCAACATCGTAGTTCCTGACATCCACTCGATGAGTCGGGATCACCCAAAGCAAATAATCCTTCCGATGTATGGTCAGGTCAATAGTAGCCTAATGTTACGTCATAAAGACTTGGTCATTTACCTCATTTCATTTCACTATGCAGGCATTTTATCATTTCACATGGTAACAAGAAGGGTGAGATTAGTACAATGAGATATTTGAGAGAGATACATTTACATAAGTTTCATTATAGTACATTGTAATTGTTCTATTTTATTATTAGTCACTATTATCTCTTAGTTTGCCTAATTTATACATGAAGCTTTATTATAGGTATCTAAAAGAAAAAACATAGTATGGATGATTCCCGACTTAACAATGGTTTGACTTATGATTTTTCAACTTTACAAAGGCAAGAAAATATGCATTTAGTAGAAACTGTACTTCAAATTTAAATTTTTATATTTTCCTGGGCTAGCGATATATGGTAAGATACTCTCTTGATACTGGGCAGTAGCAGTGAGCCACAGTTCCCAGTCAGCCACACATCACAAGAGTAAACTGATATTCTACAGCATAGCATTAAATTCACTTTTTAACATATTATTTTCAACTTATGAGTATACGTTGATGTAAATCCATCATTAAATTAAACAACTGTAAATATAGGATTGAGTACTATCTTCAAGCATCCCCTGGGGGTCTTGGAACATATCCTTTGTGGATGAGGCCAGACTGTACCTCAATCTCAGATGCTGTCAACTGTGGTTAGGTGCCTTTCTTTAGTGAAATCCTAAAGTCTCCATTAATTAAACAAAATATAAATGTCTGCTCTTCCATTACAAGTATTTGCTATTACCGCCACCCCCCGCCCCCGCCCCAAAATAACGGGAATTAGTCTACACTGCACATGAAATCTGAAACCCAATAGAGAAAAGCCCAGTAATTTTATTGGTTCATTTTACATAAAGGCAAACTAAGTCCAAAGACAAAAAACACTGGTTTTCCATTATCATTCACTGATAGCGACCCCTGAACTGATAATATCTGCCCATTCCTTCATTCTCTTAAAAATTTTTACTATTGATCAGGTGGAGAAAGAACAACTATAAGGCATCAGGATTCTGCCAGTTTTTCAATTAGTTGAAACAAATGCTTAACTACAAAACCTACTGAGGTTGCCGAAACCGGTTTGGCTCAGTGGACAGAGCGTCAGCCTGCGGACTGAAGGGTCCCAGGTTCGATTCCGGTCAGGGGCATGTACCTGGGTTGCGGGCACATCCCCAGTGGGAGATGTGCAGGAGGCAGCTGATCAATGTTTCTATCTCATCGATGTTTCTAACTCTCTATCTCTCTCCCTTCCTCTCTGTAAAAAAATCAATAAAATATATTTTAAAAAAAAAACCTACTGAGGTTGCCAATTTAAAAATGCTATTCAAACACAGAGCAATTTCTCCAACCACAAAAAATAAAATTACAATTAGGGCCAGTTATATTTAGGTAGTCATAATAACTCTAGATTATAAGACTAGTATTTGTCATAAATAAAAAACAAATTTGTATTAAAAATGAAATAGACATCTCTCTTACATTGATGTTTCTCCCCCTCCCCCGTCACCACCTCTAAAAAATATCAATAAACATATCCTGGGGTGAAGATGAACAAAATTTAAAGACATTCTTATAGCTGCTTTACTAAAGTATCGTCTAGTAATTCAAAGGAAGAATACAAGTACAAGCCCACAAATGCCACAAGGTGTACAACAGTATGTGAGTTTTATTTTGGATAAAAAATACTAAATTATTTCAAAGCAGTTCAAGTTACACAAAGAAGTTAATCTAAAGGTCTCATTTTTTAATGGCAGTCAGGTGAATAAAAAAATTTTTCTGATAACACTACAAAACACCATGAAATTTAAAAATCATCACAGTGTTGACCGAGACAATGCTGAAAATGAAAGAGCTTACTAGATTCTACCAAATACCAAATGACTGAGGAGGGGTACTATTTGAAAATGCAATGGAAAAAAAAAAAGAAAATGCAATGAAATGTCAGTCTAGTTTCATGTACAGAAACTATATTTTTGGTGACTATTATATAATTGAAAACTTTTATGTATTTGTCATTCATCCACTATTCTTCTGTGATTAAAAATTTAATTTAAAGATGAACTAGGAAAGGCCAGATAATTTCAGATACATGAAAATGAGACATGAGACAAGTGATGACTAATTCAAAGAATCCCGGATTACCTCTTATTAGCAGCACTTAGAATCACCATTTAGGGCTGGAAAAAATGTAAGAGATCTAACCTTTAATCCTCTTATTATGCAGGATGACACGAAGACCAGAGAGAGAAAATGATCTTCCCGCCCTAGCCAGCCTGGGCTCAGTGGATAGAGCTTCAGCTTGCGGACCGAAGGGTCCCGGGTTCGATTCTGTCAAGGGCACCTACCTCGGTTGCAGACTCCTCTGGGCCTGGGCCCTGGTTGGGGCTCATGCAGGAGGCAACCAATTGATGTGTTTCTCTCACACATGGATGTTTCGCTCTCTCTTCTACTCTCTAAAAATCAATGAAAAATATCCTTGAGTGAGGATTTAAAAAAAAAAAGAAAAAAAGACCTTCCCAAGGTAACTATGATGGAGAGCCCAATGTAAAGTGCACATCTCCTAGTGCTCACAGTCCATGTGTCCTTCCACCATAATGTAGTACATCTTTTCTATGTTTTCCTCTCCTATTGGAGAAAACCTCTGGCTCTCTCCTGACCTAGCATGACAGAAGTATAGTAAGCACTAAGCTAAGGTAGTTCATTACCACACCAAACTTCCTGCAAAGCTAAATTGGCTTAGCGAAACAGGTCTTGAACATGAACAGTACATGGAAATGATTTGTAAATGTGTATAAACTGGAGTTATTTGACCAAAGGTTTCTCTGACCTCTGATTTATTGTGGAGCTACCATCGTATAATCCCAGTCAGGGATAAAACTCCACCCCACCCCATCCTAGTGTTAAATGCAGCCTGGCCAACTCCCCGCACAGCTGTCGGATACCAAAAGGATTTAATAGTTCAACAGAACCATACAAAGCATCTCAGGGGATACGCCAATGCTCCGCCTAACATCAGAGAATCTGTTTCAGGC